CCCCCGGCTGCCCCACTCACCCCAGGGCTGCCCCACACACCCCCCCCACCGCAGCGCCACTCACCCCAGCTTGTCCCAGCTCCCCCGGGCAGCCCCTGGGACCCCACTGCCCCTAGGAGGGGGATGCCCAGCTTGGGGGTGCCCTACAGGGGTGCCCAGCCCTGGGGGTGCCCAACTGGGGGTCCTCTGCCCTGGGGTGCCCTGCCAGGGGTGCTCAGCCTGGGGGTACCCACCCTGGGGATGCCCTACAGGGGTGCCCAGCACTGGGGGTGCCCACCTCTGGGGGTACCCAACTGGGGGTTCCCAGCCCCTGGGTGCCAGCTGGGCGTGCCCAATGGGGGCTCCCATCCTTGGGGAGCCCCATAGGGGTGTCCCCCCCGCCCCCCGTTACCTCCCAGAGGTGCCCGATGATGGGCGCGTCGGCCCAGGAGTGCTCGGCGTTGGCCCCCAGCTTCCCGTTCTTGTAGACCACCAGGGTGAAGGACTTGTCGAACCAGCTGCGGGGAGGGGGCGGTGAGGGCAGGGCGGGCGCCCTGGCGGGGGGCTGGGGCAGGGGGCTGGGGAGGTGCCCACCGGTCGTAGCACTGGCCATGCAGCAGGGACTTGGCGTAGGCGTCCATGCAGCCCTCCTGGCCCGGGCTGTAGCCGTGCTCCTCTTCATCCAGCGTCAGGAAGAAGGCTGCCCGCTCGATGGCGTCCAGCGATGCCTTGTTCTTCCCGTGGCTGAAGAACCGGGCTCGAGCCTCGGCCCAGGGCACCCTGCCGGCACCGCCGGCATCAGGGCGTGGGGGGCTGGCGATGCCCAGATCCACCACCATCCGCCGAGCCCCCTCGAGCCCACTGCCGTGCCCCACACCGCAGCCCCCACCCAGGGGTGGCCCCAGGGTCCGGCACCATGAGTGTGAGAGTGTGGGGCTGGTGACGCCCACCGTCCTGCAAAGCCCCCCGAGCCCACCACCCCAACGCACGCCACAGCCCCCACCCAGGGGTGGCCCCAGGGTCCAGCACCAGGAGCCGTGAGGGTGCGGGACTGGCGATGCCCGCCGTCCCGCTGAGGCTCCTGAGCCCACCGTTCCCATGCCCCAACCCACACCACAGCCCCCACCCGTGGGTGGCCCCAGGGTCCCCATCCTGGAGCATCCCCTCCACCCTGCCGTGCTCTGCTCC